TGGCGTTACCTACCACCCTTCTATATTTTGTGATGCTTTCAATTGTTCTGCTAATTGTTCATCCAGTTTACTGTATTTTGGTTTCAGATTTGGGATTTTTATTTGTTTTACTGGTACTAGAGCAAGGATACCTTGTTCAGCAGCCTCCTTTGCTGTTTTGTCTGCCAATCGATTACCTATGTTTACAGCTGTCTGACCAAATTGATGAGCCTTGCAGTGCATCACTGCCACTTCCTTTGGTTTCTGCGCCTCTTCGAGGAGCTGAAGGATTTCTTCTTTGTGTTTTATCGATGAACCTTGGGCTGAGAGCAGTCCTCTTTCTTTCCAGATGGCTCCATGAGCGTGAATCACACCAAATGCATATTTAGAGTCAGTCCATATATTTACCCTTTTTCCTTCTGCCATTCGCAAGGCTTGCCTCAACGCCACCAGTTCTGCTTTCTGTGCCGAGGTATTTGCAGGCAGCGTTCCTGACTCCAGTGCCTCGGTGGTGGTGACAACAGCGTATGCGGGCGTTCGTCTTCCTTCTTTCACAAAGCTGCTTCCATCCGTGAACAACTCCAGATCAGGGTTCTCCAGAGGCTCATCCCTCAGGTCCGGTCTGCTGGAATAGACTTGTTCAACAGTTAGCAGGCAGTCATGTTCTAGATTTTCTGTCGGATTCTCCGTCGACAGAAACATTGCTGGATTTACGATGGTTGTGGTTTTTAATTCCACATCATCTTGCTCCAGTAAGACAACTTGATATTTCAGCATTCTGCTGGGGGACAGCCAATGACCCCCCTTTTGTTCTAGAACAGTTACCACCATGTGTGGTACATACACCACCATCTTTTGGCCCATAGTCAATTTTCGAGCTTCCTGAATCAGCAATACCGTCGCTGCCACAGCGCGCAAACGTCCCGGCCATCCTTTACTCACGTTGTCAAGTTGTTTAGAGAAATATCCTACTGGCCGCTTCCAGGATCCCAGACGTTGTGCCAGCACTCCAAGGGCCAGATGCTGCCTCTCATGGACAAACAGTTCAAAAGGTTTGGTTAAATTAGGTAAAGCCAAAGCAGGGGCCATCATCAATGCTTTTTTAAGTTCTTTAAATGATTTTTGGCATTCAGGTGTCCATGTCAGATACAAGTCTTTGGATTCTCTTAAAGCGTTGTAGAGTGGCTTCACATATAGTCCATAGTTTGGAATCCAAAGCCGACACCATCCAATCATTCCCAAAAAGGTTCTCAGCTCCTTTGGACTGTTAGGTTCTGGGATTTGGCAAATGGCTTCCTTCCTTTCGTTGCTTAGTTGCCTTTGCCCTTGAGATATTTCAAATCCCAGATAAATCACTGCTTCTCTTCCTATCTGGGCCTTATTTCTGGAGACTCTATATCCTCCTTGGCCCAGAAAATTCAACAAACTGATAGTAATTTCAAAACATTCTTCTTTGCTTTCTGCTGCTATCAGAATATCATCCACATATTGTAACAATGTCCCCTTTTCCTGGTTTTGTCTCTTCCATATTTCTAATTCCTTTGCCAACTGGTTTCCAAATACTGTGGGGCTCTTTTTAAATCCTTGTGGAAGTACAGTCCACGTCAGTTGCATCTTTCGTCCTGTTGCAGGGCTCTCCCATTCAAAAGCAAATATGCTTTGACTTTGTGCATCCAGAGGTATGCAAAAGAAGGCCTCCTTTAAATCTAGTACAGTAAACCATTTATGCTCCTCTTTCAGGGATGTCAATAAACTATAGGGATTGGCTGCTACTGGGTGCATATCTTGAACTATTTGATTTATAGCTCTTAGACCCTGGACTAGTCGATATTCCCGTCCCCCAGGTTTCTTTACCGGTAATATAGGTGTGTTATATTCTGACTCGCATTCTACCAAAAGCCCATATTGCAAAAATTTCATGATTAACCCCTCTAATCCTTTTCGTTCCTCCCACTTAATAGGATACTGTTTTTGTCTTACCAGTTTGGATCCGGCTTTTAAGGTCACTTTTACCGGTTCTGCCAGTTTAGATCGTCCTGGAATCTCACTTGCCCAAACCAAGGGGGTTACAGCATTTTCCACCTCTTCTGGAATTCGTTCTTCTTTAAAAGAATCCTGTAACATAAATACTTTCGCCTCTATGGCTTTTGATTCAGGTATCAATAATTCAATTTCCCCATTTTTAAAAGTTATTTGTGCCTCCAATTTACTTAACAAGTCTCGCCCTAACAAAGGCAAAGGGCATTCAGGCATATATAAAAACTGGTGTGTTACCCACTGTTTTTTCAATCTAAATTTCAACAGCTCTAAGAAAGGTTAATTTTCTTTTTACCCTGTCGCACCAACAACATCTACAGATTTATGACTACATTTCCCTTTACATGTGTTTAATACCAAATAAGTGGTCCTTGTATTTATTAAAAATTTTACTTCCTTATTCCCTAGCTTTAGTGTGACCAGGGGTTTAGCTAGGGTTGACTCCCCCGCTCCTCTTCATGATTTCTTATCTAAAGTCCTCAATTTAATCGCGCGCCTGCTAATTCTTTCCACGACCTTAAATCAGTTATTGAAAACGGAACCTTTA